TTTTACAGTATACATTAAAGCCTTTGGGCTCACTAATCCAATATTTCGGCCCATAGTACGTGTCATGACTGTTACCCCTACAAATGTGACAGGCAGTGATTTTATTATCCCCTTCGATTTAACACATTTTCATTTTAGGAGACCACTCATCACAACATTACACGATATACAAAGAGAAAAGTAGAAACAATTTGCATCTCTCACTGTATCAACAATGGCGATTCGTTCTCTAGCGAGTAGAAAAACCCTAGCTGGATTGAAAGAGACATCTTCGAGGTTTCTGGGTTTCCGTGGAATCCAAACCTTCACGCTTCCTGATCTTCCTTATGATTATAGCGCCTTGGAGCCGGCGATTAGCGGCGAGATTATGCAGATTCATCACCAGAAGCATCACCAGACGTATGTCACTAATTACAACAATGCCCTCGAGCAGCTTGATCAGGCTGTGAACAAGGGAGATGCTTCTACTGTTGTTAAGTTGCAGAGCGCTATCAAATTCAACGGCGGAGGTGTCTGACTTTTTCCCGATCTCGATTTCTTTTTGTGTTGGATTCTGTTTTGATGCAATATAGGTTGATTTTGAAACTACGGCTATGTGATCAGTCGAATTGAACGGAAGAAGTTAGCAATTGAAATAGTTGATTTTAGTTGAGAAAAATTGGTTGATGAAGCTGATGATGATTGATTCTGTTGAATATAGTCTGATTTGCTATTAAAATTTTGATCTGTGATGCAAGATGGGTTAGATGTAATTAGGTTGCTAGGTCTTGAGCTCAGAACCAGTTGGATTGATTGATAGAAGGAAATTCAGTAGAAAAAGCTGACTAAAGTTTTGGTTTTTTCTCTGTTTTTAATGTTTCCCTAAGAAACTATGGGAAATGGATGATGAAACTCATTTCGGTCTATTTCGAATGTGCAGGTCATGTGAACCACTCGATTTTCTGGAAGAATCTTGCTCCTGTCAATGTGAGCTTGTGTTTTGAGATTTTATCTTTTTTCTTCTGTATCATTGTTCTGCAATCAATGGTTTGCTTTAACATATATAACAGCAAGGTGGTGGAGAGCCACCGAAAGGAGCTCTTGGCAGTGCCATTGATACTCACTTTGGCTCCCTCGAAGGTTTGGTGAAAAAGATGAATGCTGAAGGTGCTGCTTTGCAAGGCTCAGGATGGGTGGTTAGTAGTCTAGTATCACCTTTTTTAATGTCATCAGGTCACATTGTTGACTTTGTTTGGTGCTTTACATATATAATCATGGTCATTGATTCGCTTGTTTTCTCTTGATTGATTCAGTGGCTCGGTTTAGACAAAGAACTTAAGAAGCTTGTGGTTGACACAACTGCCAATCAGGTACCTATCCATAATTAGGAATGAATATCGATTCACTAAAAATATTTAACGTAACGCGATGTGTTTATTTGTAAAGATTGTAACTTTGATGGAGTTTAAAAGAATAAGAGTTTGTTTGGTTGCAGGATCCACTTGTGACAAAAGGAGGAAGCTTGGTTCCACTGGTGGGTATAGATGTTTGGGAGCACGCTTATTACTTGCAGGTAACAACACTACTTATGATTCCTTTCTTTAGGACACATGAGTTAGCTTATTGAGATTGAGTTTTTAATCACTCTTTTGTCTCTTGCAGTACAAGAACGTGAGGCCGGATTACCTTAAGAACGTGTGGAAAGTGATCAACTGGAAATATGCAAGCGAAGTTTATGACAAGGAATCCAAGTGAATCGTTACATGATAACATAAAGAGAAGAACCAGTTCCAGCTCGGCTTTGTTTTTGAAGGTTGTGTGAAACAAACTTACAGTGTCTATTTGGTCCTTGAGTTAGCTCAAGTGAGCTGTGTGGTACTCTGTTATTACAAAATAAAAGCTTCCAAGGATAAAATTTGGTCTTGTTGTTAGAATTTGTTTTCGTTTTTGTGAAGAAGCAACAAATAATATGAGAGAAGCCTGATCTATTTACATAAACGTTGAAGGGCATCATTCCACACTAATAAAAAAAGAAATCATCACTAATTTTCTCATACTATACTTCATCAAATTTGTGGGATTATTGAAAATTGAAGGACTCATGCATAACCTTGTCCATTCACTCTCACAATAACCAGAAGCTCGAGAGATCCTTCAAGCTCCAACCTAGCCTGAATATACAGTAGGAAGCTATGGCAGATAGAGGATCCAAAGTTTATTACAAAAAAATTCCATTAGCCTTATGTAATGTGTATGATCCTAAGTTGTATTCGAAAATGCCAAATTGGTTAAAACCTTTAGTTGAGGCTGATTAGCCTAATGTAATGTGTATGAAGGTTGGGTGGTTAATGGAAGTTGTTGTTGAGGAGGAAACAAAAAAAAAATACTTTATCTTTGTGGCTGCAATATGGAAAAATGGATCCATAGTCAAGTAAAGGCGTAAAGTCAAATTACATCTTTTTCACTAACTTTTCTGACTATTTAAGCATTGGCCCCATTTTGACTTTTAAAATTTGAGCTCTTTTCTTGGAAGCACCCATACAGATTACCCAGAAACTCCATAATTTCAATTAAAATGTTATATTTGGTTCAACAACGTATTAGAAAGCTGATTAATAATTATCAAAACAAATCTTCGATAAATCGATACAAGATGAGAAACTAAACAATCTTGATCATTTCATTTCCAG